GGAAGTGTGCACTTCGTGTAACTTCTTTTCTGTTAGAGTCATATCCCAATTTTAGAACGAGGTTCGGACAAGTTGCAAAGCCGGTGAAGCTTCTGTATTCCCGGTACGCTGCCCCCCTCGGCTCGAGCTGTCCGCTCGGGTAAGCCAGGTCTAGAACAATACACCCAGGGTTTTAAACCTAGTATAACAAAGTCTCATGCCGGATCCCTAGTAGGAACGTTTGTGTGCATCACGTGCATTTCACTTAGGGGACTCAACACAGGGGTTGGGTCCGTCTAGGATAGGTGTACCCGAAATGAAAAGACCATCCTGATGCATTCTACTTGCTACTTGTGCATTTATTTGCTTCGGATTTGCATGTTGACCGGCTTATGAATAATAGGAGAAAAGTTGGGAAAAAAAATCAATTGGAGGGCTAGAGAGATAATTACCTGTTCTGAAAAACCCGATGTCCAAAAAGTACTGAAACTCTGCCGAAATTTTGAAAAAAAAGAGAGTTTTTTTAAAAAAAAAATAATATTTAGTATTGTTTTTATTATGTCAAATCTGCCCGAACTACACCAGTTTGATTCTCACCGGATGTGGGATACGTAGGCAACCCCCATCGGGTCCAACTCCATTTTTGCAAAAATAACCCAAAAAGAACAAAAAATTTTGTCATAAATAAGTAAGGTGATGCCATAGCCAAATGTCCCCAAAAGGGCGCCGGAAGGCTGTTTTTGCAAAAACAGCCACCTATGATCTCTTTTCAAAATTTTGGCCGGTTAGCAAACACAGCCCTAAAATCTTCTTTCCCGAAGTGCTGAAGGGCCGTATTTGTAAAGCCGGGTTTTATTTTTGAAATGAAAAATTTTGAAAAAAAAAAGAATTTTTTTTGATAGCTTTTTCTTGAGTCCAAAGAAATCATGATCCTTTTTAACTAAAATCACCCTAATAAATGTGCAGGATGAGCACAAATGAAAATGAACCCTTCGCAGCTCTTGAGGAAATCCCCGTACAGCTCCATATGTGGTGGAACAACTTAGAAAAAGTCAGTAGAGGGACTGTGTTAAAAGTTTTGGGTGGTCTCATGGGACTTCTAAAAGTCAAGCCGAGGTTGGATGTGATTGAGGCCTTGATACCTTTCTGGGACCCGACTCACAATGTGTTTCACTTTTCTGATTTTGAGCTCACCCCCACGCTGGAGGAAATTGCGGGCTATGCCGGTCTTAGTGGGAACATCAGAAGTCGATACCCGGTGTCACCGAGAACAGTGTCTCCTCACAAGTTCCTATATCTGTTGAGCATTAGTAGGGAGGTTCAGGATGGGAAGTTATCTAAAGGGTTTTGCACTTTCCACTTCTTGTACCAGTGCTATGGCAATCCCCACGGTTTTGAAGCACCGGATACTGGTCTGACCTACATGGGAAACAAAGATAAATGGGAGGCACGGCGGGGTCTGGCCTTTATAGTAGCATTCTTGGGTGTCATTATCTGCCCGAGAAAAGATGGCAACATAGAATTGGGTCTTGTGGGAATGGTCGACGTTATGATTAAGAAAGCCAATGACACCCTTGTTCCAATGATCTTATCTGAGATTTACCGAGCTCTGACCATTTGCCGAGAAGGGGGAAAATTCTTCCAGGGCTGTAACCTACTCCTGCAACTTTGGATGCAAGAACATCTTTGTCATCGTGTGGGGTATATGAGCTACGGTATGACTGGTTTGAATTGCATTGAAGAGTATGAAAACCGAGTGGCGGGTATTGAATTTCCAGAAGGTACAGAGGCTTGGTTTGCGCACTTGGGTTCTTTAACTTCGGATAGAATTGAGTGGACTTTCGGATGGCTCCCTGTCACTGAAGTCATCTACATGTCGGCCGAGGTGTGCTATCTTCTCCTAATAGGTCTCCAGAGCATTCAGCCATATGCTCCTCATCGGGTGCTGCGCCAATTAGGCATGTTTCAAACTATCCCACATGACGAAGATCTCAGCCGACAAGTCATCGAATTGGGCCCAAAAGCTGTATTCCCCGAAGGAAAAGTTCGTCAAATTTGGAATGAGTGCAGATTTCTAGAGCCTAAGACTCTGGTGCGGGATCTATCTCAGGGTGAGGTAGACCCTCATTACATGACTTGGTTCTGCAAAAGGTTTCAAATCCCTCAAGAGCCCGAAAGGCCTGCTAACTGACCCCACGTCCAGCAATTCACTGACTACTCGCGGGAGCAATGGAACTGGTTGACGAAAGAGGCGAGCTATAGGGCCAAGATAAGTAAATTGGAGGGACAAATCAGTGCTCAAATTTGACAATAGTGTCCAAGCTGCTGCCGACGAAGGGGAAAAGAAGAAGCTGGCTCAGGAAAATGAAGCCCTTAAAGCTCAGGTCCATAAGATGAAAATAGATGCTAAAAACCAGGAGAGAAGCCGAGCAGATGAAAGGCTTATAAGTGGTCTTAGAAAGAAAGTAATTGAGTGTCAAGATGACTTAGAAAAATCTGAGGCTAGTCTAGAAAGAGTCCGAGCACAAATGGCAAAGAATGCAGAAGGACGGGTGGAATTTGTGCGGCAGTTGAAAAGAAAATATGAGGGGACAGTCACTGATTTAAAGAGAAAGTTAACTACCCTCGAAAATGAGGCGGCCAAACAAGTTAGGAACTTTAAAGCCAAAAGGGAACATTGCTACGCCTTGATGTCCCAGATGGAGGAAGATATGAAACAGTTGTAGAGTCAAAACCATCATGACACCCAGGTGTTAGAAGCTAGAACTCAGCAAATCGGGCGCTTGCTCCAAGAAAAAGGTATCATCCGGGAGAGGGTTAGAGCAATTGCCGACTACATCGTCGTGAAGTGTCAAGAATGTGAAGACATGACTAGGACCACCTTCTTTGCTGCGGTTATGACATTTGTTCGCCAAAGAATGAGTGATCTGGAGCGTCTTCAAGGGGATCTTGCACATAGGCCCGTGGCAAGACCGAATGATGTCCCACGGGCCCCAGGAGTAGAAGCACTTATGTACTATTGACTTTCATTTATCGAGTCTGTACCTCAGTTGTTGTTTTGAGTATGTTTTTAGTTGTTAAAATTCCAAAAAATAAGTATGTCAAAGTCTTTTGTAATAGAAAAGTTTAGGAGTTTTATTAATGAAAATTGAAAATTCCCAAAAATTGTTTCTTTATTTTTCGTACTTATTTCTTGAACTACGTAATGATCTGATTCATGCGGCGTCATGATACGTAGGCAATCCTCATCGGATCCGGTCATGATTTTGTAAATAACTCAAATAAAAGAGGAATATGCAAGGAAAAAACCGAAAGAAAAAACCAAAAAAAAAAGAGAAAAAAGAGAGAGCCAAAGAAAAAGCAAAAGAATAACGAAAAAAAAAGCAAGAAAAGAGAGAAAAATGGGAATGAGAGGCGAAGCATCAAAGAGCCAAAGTGGAAAGAAAAGAAAATTGTGGAAATAAGCAAGAGCCGGGATGAAACACGCAATCGTTGCGAAACATGTAGAAACACATTTAACTGTATAGGTGCATCACACCCCAATGTGCGATTACCTATGTGTTAATTGCTTCAAACTGACTGGTTTGTTGTCTACTGTTAAGTACATGCTCTATAGTAAGGTGGTTGGTTTTGTGGTACTCTGGCTTCACATCGTTACTTCACAAGGTCGGGAAGCATTAAAATGTCATCTGAGGGTCATCTACCAATGGTTCCTATCCCCGAGGATAGCCCGATCTCGGCCATCCCAACTTCAGAATCGGCCGCTGCTGAGGAAAACAAAATTCTGCGTCTCCGCATGATGGAAATGTGGGATGCCTGGTCCAGTGGTAGGGAACCACCAAGTGCGATCCCTGGATTCCCTGAGCTACTTCCCAGGGCAAGTGGAACCTCCAATGCCATAAGTTACCCGAATACTCCACTTGGATATCCTACCATTTCGGCCCACTTTGCTGGAACACCTTCTAAGGTTCGCCCCCAGGTGTTGGTTTCAGGCGCAGCCTCCAATATATTCACTGCGCCACCTTCTTCAGCCACGGCACAACCCACTTTACCCAGGCCGAGCTTTGATCCATCATCCTTCACCTTTCAAGTACCATCTTTCCCACTGGAACCTACCCAGTTCACTACTAATTCCTACCCTCAGCAACCCCGGTACGAGCTTATCGCGGGACAGGAGAAAACCTCAAAGAACCCTGAACAAGAGGAGATTACCTGAAAAATGAGGAGAATGGAGCAGAGTCTCAAAAATATACAGGGTTTGAGCGGGCAAAAGAGCGTATCCTACGCTGATCTATGTATGTTCCCACATGTGCACTTACCCCTAGGTTTCAAGACCCCAAAGTTCGAAAAGTATGACGGGCATGTGGATCCCATTGCCCACCTCAAGAGGTATTGCAATCAATTGCGAGAGGCCGGTGGAAAAGAGGAGCTCCTCATGGCTTATTTTGGAGAGAGCATGGTCGGTATTGCTTATGAATGGTACATGGATCAGGATATATCTCGGTGGCATATTTGGGACGACCTGGCTCGGGATTTCATCAGGCAGTTTCAGTATAACATCGACATAGCCCCTGACAGGAATTCGTTGTCAAATCTCAAGAAGAAGTCCTCGAAAAGCTTCCGGGAGTATGCTGTCAAATGGCGCGAACAAACGACCAGAGTCAAACCTCCAATGGATGAAACAAAGATGGTTAGTGTTTTTCTTCAAGCCCAAGAGGCTGATTATTATCAGAATATGATGTCTGCGATGGGGAAACCGTTTGCCGAGGCCATAAAAATTGGTGAAATGGTCGAGAATGGGTTAAAAAATANGTCTAAAAACAGGGCGCATATTGAGTCAGTCTGCTATAAGGGCTACCTCCCAAGAAATTCAAGGCGGGTCTGGAGGTGTAGCAAACTGAAAGAAGAAGGAAGAAGTGGCAATGGCAACTTCAAGTGTAAGAAAACCCCGTCCACCCAGACCTTACTTCCCTAAAAGAACCCCACAACATTACTATCCCCATCAGGATGTGTCCTATGCTATGGTTCCTCAGCCATACGTAGTGATGAATGCCCAGCCCTACGTTAGGCCACAACAACAATTCAATCAAAATCGAGCTCCAGTTCCCAGAAATCAACCTCCTCGCCAAGCTCAGTATAATCCTCGACCGCCACAGAACAACTTCCCCTACAATGCCCGTGCCCGAGAACCACCCAGGATGGCAAACTTCACATCCATTGGTGAGTCATATTCCAGCCTTTTCCCCAAATTTGTCCAGATGGGTCTGTTGCAGCCCGTACCCCAAACCAGGCACAATCTAGAATCGCCCTCCTATAGAGCTGGTACTCGATGTGCTTACCATTCAGGGGCGGAAGGGCATGATACAGACGACTGTTGGACCCTGAAAAGGGCTGTGGAAAATCTCATAGAACAAAAGCGAATAGTGCTAAAGGACGAAGACGTTCCTAATGTAACCAACAATCCATTACCTACTCACAACAACGGGCCGATTATTGGAATGATTTGTGAAGATAAAGAGTTTCACCTAGCTCTAAAAGCTATCATTGCCATAGCCGATGTGGAAAAGAAGTCAAAGGCTGCCGTAAAACAAGACAAGGGGGAGAAGAAGAGTAAACCCACCCCTCAAAATACAGAAAAGAAAGTGGAAACCGAAACTGGGGAAGCGCCCTCAAAAGATGCCATTCTTTATGTTCCCCGAGGTCACAAAAAAGAACAAATGTCATTGAGCCCTCCAAGAAGGTTTGAGCTAAACAAGGGATCTAAAATGTACGTGCCTAAAGGGACCTATGTGGTACGGGGGCCAGTAATTTCACCAAGGCTGAATGAGCCTGTGGTTATTGGCCGCGCACCGCAGAGGCCCATGACAGATCGCACTGCCGTCCCATGGAATTACAACAAGGCTGTAGTGACTTACAAAGGAAAAGAAGTCCTGGGAGAAACAAATGAAACTAACCCGGCCGAGAAATACCTCAATCTGGAAGAAGTGAATAATGCCACGAAGAAACGCTTCCCGATCAAGAAACCAGTTAGTGCCGAAGAGGCAGAAGAGTTCTTCCAAAAAATGAAAACGGCAGACTACGAGATAGTTGACCAACTCCGCAAGTCCCCTGCTCAGGTCTCTTTGTTGTCTCTGTTAATGAATTCAACTGAGCATCAGAAGGTGTTGATCAAAACCCTCAATGAAGCTTATGTTCTGATTGAAACCACTGTGGAACAATTGGAAAGGATGGCAGAAAGATTTTTCGCAATCAATCAGATCTCTTTCAGCAAGAATGATTTGCCTCCGGAAGGGGCCGCCCACAACAAAGCCCTTCATCTGACAGTTAAATGTGAGGGTTACTATGTGAAGAGAGTCATGTTGGATGGTGGGTCCGGAGTAGATATTGCCCTCTCTCAACTCTGCAAAGAATGGAGATCGGTACTGAGAGAATCAGGCCCAACAACGTCTGTGTGCGTGCCTTTGATGTCATCAAGAGAGATACCATAGGTGAGATTGATCTGATTCTAACTATTGGTCCGGTGGATTTCGAGGTGACCTTTCAGGTCCTAGACATGCATACTTCCTATAATTTCCTCTTGGGAAGACCTTGGATTCACACAGCAGGGGCTGTACCTTCCACTCTCCACCAGATGGTGAAATTTGAACATGAGGATCAAGAGATTGTAGTCCATGGAGAGGACGAGCAGCCGATTTACCAGGACCCGTCAGTCCCATGTCTCGAAGCTAGGGAAGGAAGTGAACATATAGTCTATCAAGCTTTCGAGGTTGTGGTCGCAGACCATTGTGAAGAAGGAAACCCTTGTCCTCAACCATTTCTCTCAAATGCGTCAATTATGGTTGCCAAGGAAATGATCAGGCATGGTTATAAACCCGAAGGGGCTCGGGACATCATTGCAAGGAATCATTGAACCTATCACTCTGGCTGCTAGCGAGAAGTTATTTGGGGTAGGTTTCCAACCCACACCAGCTGATGAAAAATGGGCAGACAAATGAAAGAATAACGGTTGAGTCTTGCCTCAGCCGATTCCGCATCTTTATAGAACATTTGTCAGGCCTAAGTACAATGAGGAAGAGGAAGATGAGGCCTTCACGGCCGAGGAAATTGAAGAAATCTGTGGGGCTATGAGGCAGATGCTGTATGAATCCCACCGCTGAGGTGCTGCATATGGGGCCCAATGCCAAGTTGCAAAATTTGAAGGCTACTCCTTTCCCAATCTGGCGGGAATCCCGGTAGTCCAGTCCTGCCACCTTTTCTGCATCACGAGTTATTTCAGGGTGTAACTCGGATGTTTTCTTTTAGTTTATTGTCTTTAGTTTCCAATGTAAACCCTGTTATCTTCAAAATTCAATGAAATGAAATCAATATTTCATCGTTCATCTCTCTATTCCTTCTGATTTTGTTACTTTTTCTTATTTCTTCTTTCAGTTCTAATAATGCGGCTTTAAATAACATGACATGCTTGCGGACTTCATGCCAAGATCCAAACACGCTGTCTAATTGTGAAATAATGAACCAAGAACCGGAGTATGATGAAGAAGAGGCTTTTAGGGAAATAAATCGAGAATTGGAACAATTTGAGAATATACCTAAGACGAACTTAAATGATACCGAGCCGGTTAATTTGGGTAGTTCTGAAGAAGTAGAAGAAACCAAGATGAGCATTCACACAGATGAAAAAACCCGGGATGCGTTGATCCAACTTTTGTTCGAATTCAAAGATGTGTTTTCTTGGTCATACGATGACATGCCAGGACTAAGTGTCGATTTGGTGGTCCACAAGTTGCCGACCTACCCCGATTATCCTCCTGTCCAGCAAAAGCAAAGAAATTTCAAAACTGATATCAGTGACAAGATTAAAGAAGAGGTCACAAAACAGTTGAAAGCGGGGGTGATCCGAGTGGTCCGATACACCACATGGTTAGCTAATGTAGTTCCAGTGCCAAAGAAAGACGGGAAAACTCGAGTGTGTGTGGACTACAGAGATCTGAACAAAGCAAGTCCCAAGGATAATTTCCCTTTGCCAAACATCCACATCCTTGTTGATAACTGCACCAAACATAAGATACAGTCCTTCGTGGATTGTTATGCAGGATATCACCAGGTGTTGATGGATGAAGAGGATGCGGAAAAGACAGCTTTCACCACACCCTGGGGCACCTACTGTTACAGGGTCTTGCCTTTTGGTCTGAAGAACGCTGGGGCAACTTATATGAGGGCCACGACTGCCATCTTTCACGACATGATGCACCAAGAAATCGAGGTGTATGTGGACGATGTGATAATCAAATCCAGAACACAGGATGACCATGTTCGGAACCTGAGAAAGTTCTTTGAGCGGCTGCGTAAGTATGATCTGAAACTAAATCCGGCCAAATGTGCATTTGGGGTTCCGTCTGGCAAACTCTTAGGATTTATAGTCAGTCGAAGGGGCATCGAATTAGACCCAACAAAGATAAAGTCTATTCGAGATTTACCCCCATCCAAGAACCAAGAAAGAGGTTATGAGCCTGCTGGGAAGGTTGAACTACATTAGCCGATTCATAGCTCAGTTGACTTCCACATGTGAACCCATCTTCAAGCTGTTAAAGAAAGATGCAGCGATTAAATGGACGGATGAGTGTCAAGAAACCTTTGACAAAATCAAAGAATATCTGTCAAACCCACCAGTCTTGGTCCCACCTGAACCGGGGAGGCCTCTGTTCTTGTACCTGACAGTCTTGGAAAACTCCTTCGGCTGTGTCCTCGGGCAACACGATGTGACCGGAAAGAGAGAACAAGCCATCTACTATCTGAGCAAGAAGTTTACCAGTTATGAAGCCAAGTACACTTTGTTGGAAAGAACTTGCTGCGCCCTGACTTGGGTTGCTCAGAAGCTTAGGCACTACTTGTCGGCCTACACCACCTACCTCATTACCAGGTTAGACCCTCTGAAGTACATATTCTAGAAGCCGATGCCCACAGGGAGGTTAGCAAAATGGCAGATCCTGCTCACTGAATTTGACATAGTCTATGTCACCCGCACGGCAATGAAAGCCCAGGCTTTAGCAGATCACTTGGCCGAAAACCCTATTGACGATGAATATCAGCCATTGAGCACTTACTTCCCGGACAAAGAGGTACATTCAATTGAGGTAACATTCGAAGACACCAATGCTTGGAAAATGTTCTTCGATGGAGCTGTGAACGCAAAAGGCGTTGGAATTGGGGCAATCTTGATCTCACCCACTGGTCAACACTATCCACCCACAGCCCGACTTCGGTTTTTCTGCACAAACAACACTGCCTAGTATTAAGCCTGCATTATGGGTATGAATATGGCAATCGACCAAGATGTCAAAGAACTATTGATCATGGGGGATTCGGACTTGATTATCCGACAAGCTCAGGGAGAATGGGAAACCCGGGATGTCAAGCTTATTCCTTATAGACAACATGTGGAAGATCTTAGCAAGCGGTTCAAGTCACTTAAGTTCAGGTACATTCCTTTTTTTCATAATGAGTTAGCCGATGCACTCGCTACTTTGGCCTCGATGTTGCCATATCCAGGCAATCTCCACATTGACTCATTGGAGATCCAAATCCGAGAAAGGCATGGTTACTGCAATACGGTTGAGCTGGAACCAAATGTCCAGCCATGGTATCATGATATCAAGAGTCTGAAAATGAAAGAATATCCCGATCAAAAGAGAACCATTAGAAGGCTTGCCGGCAGCTTCTTCTTGAGTGGTGAAGTCTTATACAAAAGGACTCCGGATCTCAATTTGTTAAAATGTGTTGACGCCGAAGAGGCCGGAAGAATCATATATGAAGTGCACGCAGGAGTGTGTGGACCCCACATGAATGGGTACATTTTGGCAAAGAAAATCCTCCGAGTAGACTATTACTGGATGACTATGGAAAAAGATTGCTTCAGTTTTGTCCGAAAATGTAGACTTCGTGCACTCCAATCTCATCTGCCGTTTCGGTATTCCTACAACTATCATTACGGATAATGCTGCAAATTTGAATAGTCACTTGATGAGGGAGATATGTGAGCAGTTTAAGATCACGCATCGGAATTCTACTCCTTATCGGCCCAAAGCCAATGGTGATGTCGAAGCAGCAAACAAAAACATCAAGAAGATTCTGAGAAAGATGATCCAAAGTTCCAGGCAATAGCATGAAAAGTTGCCGTTTGCATTGTTGGGATATCGCACAACTATGCGTACATCAGTCGGAGTAACCCCGTATCTTTTGGTTTACGGCACTGAAGCCGTAATACTTGCCGAAGTTGAAATCCCTTCTCGTCGAATCATTGCTGAAGATGAAATTGAGGACAGTGAGTGGGTCAAAACCCGTCTGGAACAGTTAACCCTGATTGATGAAAAGCGAATGGCCGCAGTCTGCCACGGGCAGTTGCACAAAGAATGGCCCGTGCCTACAACAAGAAAGTGCAACCTAGAAACTTTGAAGTGGGGCAACTCGTTTTAAGGCGTATTCTTCCCCATCATCAGGAAGCAAAAGGAAAGTTTGCTCCTAACTGGAAAGGCCCACATTATCAGAAAATTGTTGCCAAGAGGGGCGTTATACCTGGGAGACATCGAAGGAAATGACCCCGAAACAGCTGTAAATGCAGACGCAGTCAAAAGGTACTATGTCTAGTCTTTCTACAACAACAAAATTATCCAATTGGGATGACGAAGGCTTTCATTCTCGCTACCCCAAACACTCCAATCCTTTGCTAACTCTTTGAGCCGATTACCTTTATTTCATTACCCTCTTTGGAACTTGAAGACGTTTTTAAAAAAAAAAAGAAAAAGAAAAACAACAAAACAACAAAAACAAAATATTTCCCTGAACTACGTTCGACTTGATTCCGAAAGGATACTTAGGCAGCCTCTCCCTGGGGTTCAGTCATACCAAAACAAAAATCCAATTTCCCCCAAAAAGTGAAACTGGGGCAGATGTTATAATGGTTCGGCGATGATCCCGCCTGAAAGTTTCCAAAGTTGTAATTCGATCCAAGTTATTTTTACCCAAACCTTGTTCAAGTCTTTCCGATCAATCGGTGAAAGGTTTTCAAAATCAGAGAACGTAGTTGTTTGGATCCGATGCAATCAAGATGAGAGAAATAAAATGAGAGTCTTATTGGTGAAAACCCACGGGCACCATAAGTCAACGGTGAGCAGAGAAATCGAAAATGAGAGAGTTTTGTTAGTGAAAACTCGTAAAGAGCACTATAAGGCGACGGTGAGAAGAGAAATGAGAGAGGTCAATTGGCGAAAACCCGCAAAGGGCGCCGTTGATCGAAAAGAAGGAATCCCTCACCACCATTGGCAATGAAAGAGTCCTGAAAAGGTTTCTCGATTTTAAAACATGGGTCGCAATGGGTTTATGAGAAGTTGGATAGTTGGGAAGATCGGGCATCCAGTCCAAGAAGCATGTCATGTCTATTGGAGTCTGCATGCACTCCAGATAAGTCCTTCTTTCCTCCCCGAAAGGGACACTTATCCTTAAATTCACTTTCTTGTCCTTTATTTACTTTTCTTTGAATCCCTTTCGGTCTAACTCTGTTCCGAAACTAATACAAAGAAAAGGTGGCAAGATTGATTTTACAGGGTTCTGCTTTAATGAAATCCAAGTCCAAAGAAAAGTACCCAGCCTCAGTGGGTGCATCAAGTCGATCCCGACTGGCCATGATGGCCGATGCTCTGAAATCAAAGTTATTGAAAATAAAAAGAAATCCAAAGTCAAAAGCCCCTAGAGGCAGAATAAGGTGAAAGGACCAAAGCCCCACACAGGTGAACCGTCATCTGGAAAGTTTGGAAAGTTGAGTTCCTCGGTTTTAGGAGAGATATCAATCTTCAGAGAGGCCAGCAAGCAGTAGAGGTTCTCACCAAAAGAGTTGGGCCGAGATCAAGTGATCAA